TTCAAATTTAAAATTCAAACTTTAAAAAAAACAATCAACGTCTTTATCTTATCTCGGCTTAAAAGGTACTTACTCAAAACAGCCGTATCGTTCTCTTAAACAACAGCGCTAAAACGCTGCTTGAGAAAAGCAGCAGAACCTGCTTCCCCAGTTAAATCCCGATTTTGACAATTAATTAAACTTTTCTCGTCCAAGTCTCGAGTTCATTCGGCAGATTTGCCATAACAAACTACCAAAATCGTTGTCGCTCGAAACGTTATTACCAAAACAAAAGTGACTAACAAAATGTAGCACTCATTGTCAGAGGGAGGACAACCGAACAAGCCGGCAAGTTATGTATTTCCAAAACATAATATAACGCGGCAAAACTTACTGGGAGCAACTTGTGATATCCATGATGTCCAAACAGGAGAAGATCTCCAGCATTAAATCTGTGGTGAGGTGGAAGTGCGGGCTGGACAAACCTTCATATTCGGACAAAACAGCCGCCATTTCTCAAAAAACCGCCTCCAAATTTCCTGATACCTTGTTCCTTTTGCACTGTTCTTACGCTCTAAGCAACTTATGCACACTATGCACACTCTGGCAGAGAAGTATTTCGAACTTTCGAAACCTTTCACTTCGACCCATGAAGCGATAGCCGAATAGTGTACTGAATTGGCATCTCGATTGCAGACTATCTTGGCGGTTGTATCTTAGTAGGTAAAAAATCTTAACTGATAGCATTTTCTACTTTGTGGTAGCCAGAACGGTTCAGTTACGCTGTGATGCAATGGCCTTTACTTTTGTTTCGAAGCGCAGAGGTCATTCCTGCCCAATGATTGTGACAGGATATACTGTACCATAACGTATCCGGTCAAATAGTATACCAGAGCCTACAACCTTCTTCGCTGTGTGTGGCTCAATGACACAGAGCGTTCACCTATGCCCCAACTCAGCTTACAACGTCTGGTACCGGCTAATTCGATCTATTTTAATGAACATTTTAAGTTTATGAACAATGAGCTTTATTCGGCAAAAGCACAACACATAACGATAGGCCAGCCCTGATAGACACTAATCAAAATGATTCAAATTTAAGCATTATAAAAACAACCAAAATCGTTATTTGTTATCTTGGGGCGAGTATTCAGTGTTCCCAAAACCGCAGCTGCATTTTCCTATAACCGCTAACTCATACGCTGTCTAAGAAAGGACGTTGCGTTATTATTATTAGAAAGGCCGTAGATCGAGGCTCCCCGGTAACCACACGGATCTTCCGGTCAGTAAAACGAATCATTTCGGAAAAAGCCTTTCCAAATGTTCCGAGCGTCTCCACTGCCAAGGGGTAGAAAAAGTAGCCCAATTCCTCAAAGAAATCGTACTTTCGTCGCTTACTGTTTATTCTTTTAAAAAATACAGCGGTTGCCTGATACAGCGTGACTAAAAACCGAATTTTGCGTAGTAGAATAATCAAATGACTGTGGCGCTGCACAGATGACTGCGGCCTATTAAAAAAGCTTTCAGTAACATTTGGCTGATGATTTAAGTGATAGATCAACAGAATGATGATTTAAGAGATATTTCAAAGTTATATAAAGAAATAATATACAAGGAGGCAAACCACTCTACTCGAACCGTTTCCCTGTACTGCTGCCGTCACCCGGGCCCTAGAGTTTTACGTTGTGGCTAAATATGGCGGTTATGTACCGCGCCGGAGTTAACCATATTATGTACCGCAGCAAAGTCACACTCCAGCCGGGTGACGGCAGCACTATGCTGAAAGGGTTTGACTAAAATGGTTTTCCCCTTATTTTTCTATACGACAAGGATAGAAAAACAGAATTTCCCAGCACACTAAATTTAATAGTAAATACCCGAGATTCTATCGCCAGTTCAGAGCCGCCTGCAAGATATACACAGGCACATTAGATACGAGTACTTCTGTCAGGAGATGGTACAAGTAAACCAAATGTGCAATATATGTGTATACAATAATTATGGTGTTACTGTATTGTCGTACCCGTATGCATTCCATTATCCAGTTCCACAATAAGCACTGGGCCCTCGCGGGGCTGCTCTCATTCACGGACCCGATGCGACCGGTGTCCTTTATGTCAGCGGGATGGTTCAACAGAATCTGTATCACACTATCCTGGAACCAGCGTGGCCGTCGGCGAATTCTCTCCATAGTCAGGCCCAATGTATCAATGGCAGTTGACGGGTCAATTGGAGCCGCCATGGTATCCGGATAATTGCATGCATATCTGAAAAGAGTACATGGTTACGTTTTATTCGCAATCGGGATATATTACTTACGATTTTCCGCGTTCGTTTAGCTTTAGCGTGTGTTGAACCCGTATATAAGGGAGAATCCCGTAGATAAGGGGTTCTCCCAACCCAATAAGGGAGAATTATTGGGACGTTGGGAGAACCATTTCAGTCGAAACAATTCACGGCACTGCGGCCGTCACCCGGCTGGAGCCTGGAATGTGACGTTACGGCAATACATGCGGTTAAATCAAGCGCGGTAAAGAACCACAACGTAAAATTCCAGCCGGGTGACGGCAGCAGTATAGGGAGACGGTTCTAGTACCCTATATGTAAACGTCTTTTGACATACTGGTACATTTTCTTGATGCACATACACATAAAGGTACATATGATACAGTCAAATATCCACATGCCCCGGAAAACGCAACAAAATGTAACACCGTGACAATACTGTACGTATGGTCTATGAACCTGCAACTTATCACCCAGCTAATTGTAGTTAGTTTTAAGCCAATTAACCCAAAAATCAAATAAAGCGGTTTCAGAAACTCGAACGACTACCGATATTCTCGCGAAACGAAAATCAAAATTTCTGCCTCAAATTGTTGCGGCAAAACAAGCTTTGAAAATCCAGAAGAAAGACCTTCTATAGCACATTTCGGTACGAGGTTTTCACATTTATAATAATATTCTTGTTTTCTTGGCGACAAAAAAGGTTTTAGAGTAGTAAGATACCAGAGCTCGAAAGGCTGGGTTTAACCTGGTCAAAAACCCGGCAAGAGTTTTCCCTGCTGGCTCTGTTGATTGCAACTGGCTCTGTAAGAACACTTCCTCTTCGAACGAAAAGATAGCCGGCAGGAAGCCGGAGTAGATGTGCAGCAGCGAGTTATATCCGTGTACATTGTCATCATCCTGCCGCCATGGCCATCTGCCGTTCTCTTGTACCAACATACGCTTCTTTACGAATTGCCGCAACACTAATCTGGGTAACGGCAGCGGTGAATACCAGTCCCGTTTCTCCGTGATCAGTTCCGCGCAAAAATTCATGGTGCACTTGACCACTGCAACAGCGCTGATGAACGGCGGCAGGCGACACCGTGTCCCTTTTTCCCCGTCCAACTTGAACTCCATAAGAAGATACAGTGAATCGGCTTGCAGGTGTAGATTGTACAGTGTGAGAACCACATTCCGCTGGATTTCAGCCGCTTTCATGCCGCGCGTATCGCCGTATTTCGCACTGCAACACTCGAGAACCCAGCTGAGAAGCGAATCGTTAACGTAAATATCGCGGCAAAACTGCTCCACGTAGCCACGGTCCAGCAGGAGTACGCGACGGTCTTCCCATCGTTTCGCCAGTTCGGGAAAAATACCGGGTCCGCGGAGGACCAGATTGCGGGTTCTTCGTGTTACGATACGTTGGAAGATGGCACGACACCGTAACTCCTGGTCTTCAAGACGCGCATAGTGATACAGCAGTTCTTCGTGATGAACAGCCCTCCTAGGATGGTAGTATGCCATGAAATCCTTGGTCAACCATTTGTCCACATCGACGATGACGTTAACTTGCAGGACCTCATGTGTACTGAGAAGGTTCCACCGCAGGCAGACGCTGTGAGCCAAAAAACGGCAATGACATTGAAGCTTGCTACACTATCGGATAGTTATTATTTACGTTGCCCTAGCGCAAAAAAACATCAAGTAAAATCTTGTACTAGCCAGAAAGCCCTGCCAAATAACCCTGTAATTTACGGAATGATCCTAATGGATGGATTTATGGAATTTGAGAAATAATGTGAACGATAGAAGACGCTACTGTACTTACATGGAGCACTTAGTAATATCCGTGATGTCCAGACAGGAGAAAATCTCCAACATTAGCTCGTTGGGGAGGTGAAGAAAGTGCATCCCGGCGGGTTCGAAAAAGCCCGCCGCCACTGCTAGAAGTCGCCGACAGGTCTGTTCCTGTTCCCTTTTTGATGTAATCATCCTAGATTTGGCAGATTTGGCAGCTGTAGATAGAAAACGTATTTGGAAAAATATTAAATGTTTTCCTTAGAGGCTCTACGCGACAGCGGTGTAGGGCTGCATTATCCTTGTTAATTCAGCAACGGGTTTACTGCGCGCGAAGGAAAGCCCAGAGCGAAATATTGAGGGTCAGTACACTGCGCTGATGCAACAGTCTTTAACCGGTCTCGATGCATGAAGAGGTCACTTATCCTGCATAAGGATGGAGGGCAATAATGACTGCTACCTGTAACGCATCCGGTTCTAAAATAATAATTCGGTTGGTATTTATTCGTTTACTTTACATCCATATAATTTTAATGTATTGCCGCACATGCTTACCTATACAGATATCTTCAGAGTACTGTACATTATTTTCACGCATTTTACTTCCTACCGAGTAGATTTTTTATTACGTTCAGTAATAACTCCTATTTTTATGTACATTTTTATGCTCTTTGAATTTTAAAAGAACAGTCAAAGTACTGTAGGTCCGATTTGCCCCATAAAATTGGATTCGGTAACGTGCAGATATTTATTTTGCTTTTAAACCTACACAAAGACCGGGGAGACCAAGTTCATAACTTCATACCGTAACAGGCGGCTCGTTTGCATGTTAAGAATAAGTGTCGACAGAGTATAAACAGCGGTGTACGGGAACTGCTGTTCCTCAACTTCGGAGGAATGTAGTTTTAATATAAAAAATGGGAATGCCGGAAAATTGAGACAACGTTCACGCCGTCTCTGATGCCATTTCGCAATTTGGATTTTCTAAGTGTTCGTTCACCGTTCACATACTAGAACGGTTTTGTAGGTGAAAATGTTAAACAGTGGTGAAATACTATAGCTGTTCGCCGCCAGTTGCCGGCGGTCGGGTTAGTACAAAACACAAGTTGTAACAGGTAGAAATGCAAGATTCTAACAATCGTCTTTGATACTTAATATCACTTTGAACTACAATTTTACAATCGGTGCAAAAATTTACAGAATCCAGAATATTATGAGAACACTAAAAGCAAAGCCTTACAGGATCGCTTGGGCAAGAAAACCAACAAATCACAAAAAATGCAAGATCATGCAGCGATCATCTCTATTTCTTCGCATTCCCGGCAATCGGTTTGACGTCCCACGTCAACGTATACAGATCCGAGCGGCCTTGGGCACCCAAATTGACGGTCTGGTAGTTTTCCTGGTTATCCAGCAGCGGCACATCAGCGCCCTGATACAGACGGCTGTTACTGTAGTCGTAGAACTTCTGGGCCTGGCTGCAGTCGACTTCCCAGAACCAGTGGCAGACCAGGGTGATTTGGTTGAAGAGCTAAAAGTCAATGGTGTTCTTTATTATGCGGTTTGCAATCCAAATCGATGCAAGGAAAACGGGATTTTTTTTACCGTCATGTTGGGGCAGATGTGCGAGGTTAAGTTACCGTTGACGTCACATCGGCGAACAACTACGGGAAGACACCATTACAAACGGTAAATGTGGGTACATTTTAGAATTAAGCGCATATGCCATAATCACGATGGGAAATTGTTACCGCTGTATTCGCAAATTCCAGTTTTCTTGTGTAAATTATTGCGAGCTCAAGATTGGAATACGTACCTTGGCACTTAAAGTCAGTGTCGGCATAATAACCCGGTGCGTGAGCGGAGCAGTCCCAGTTGCCTTGGGGAATATCGTTAGCGTTGTATGTGGGATAATCCTGTCCAGCACGAGCACTGACATACAGGTTATAGATATCCGCGGTGCTCAACTTATTCCGCCCGCTTAACTGGTCAAGAGCCGTCCATACCGGTGGGTTCTGAGCGCTGACGGCGCGTTTAACCTTTAATAAAAGGCGCATATATACAGTACATGAGCAGTTAATGCAAATTAATTAATAAACATTGCACTGAAATAAAATCAGATGAAAACGCTTACCGGCGTCGCATAAGCAATTCCGATAACAGCAGCGAAAACGATGATATACTTCATGGTGGAACACACTGAATAAACGATGCCGGCAATCTGATAAAAACTGTAAGTATACAATCTGGTTTACACTGCTTGAATTGCAAATTATGCAACTGGGTGGAAAGCGGACTGACGATTGTTTACCGTTTCCGGCGTGGCATTATAAAAGCCCGAACACAAGACTCACCGAAATTTTTATTGTGTGGTAATTAGCCTTGACAGTGAACGTTGTGTCAACGGCCAGACGGCTGTCGATTGGTCCAAATTGGAGAGCGCGTGTACACGGTAGTGTCGTTGTCAGATTCGCTGGCATTGAACGCACAGCGGCGAACTGCCGGTTACCGCATATCCGCACTATATGTAATAATGTGAAACACTAATTTTGCTCATTTTGACTAGTATATGCTAGTACTAGCTTATGATTTGTACAAGATAGCGATCAGTAACTTGGCGAGTTAATTAGGCGATCGCTGAAACAGTTTAAAGTGGAAACAAAACAATTAACTGCGAACGCTGATCTCTGAGTCGGCTAATGAGCTTTTGCCCATTAAGCCATAATTGCATGTATTTTCTTTTTAATTACTTACTGGAGTTACACAGTATTACAGACACAGTGGCTTGGCACGTAACATATTCATGGTAGTGCTTTCCATCCTCTTGTAATCGAGTTACTCGTAGCAACCGAAGATTCGTGATTTACTGCTTTTAAAGATAAGATTTAAGTCTAGCAGTTACTAAGCAGTAGCCAGCAGAAAAGCAGCGGCAGTTCTGGGTACACCGTACGGTGAGCCTCACATCCAAAGATCTCTAACGGCACTAACGATTTTGAATGTTATTTTTAAGTTTAAAATTTAATTAATTCAAATGTAAATCTGCGCAGAGCTAATACCGACTATAATAGTATAGTTTTTTTTCTGCGACTACTTGTTAGTTGTTACCCGTAACGGCCTGGATACAACTGAACACACTCATTTATTACCAGATTAATTTTAGCAATAACTGCAACGACTTGACAATGGTTAAAATGTCAAGAATGATACAATCATTGGGTGCCGGAAAAATAATAGCAGTGAAGTTTTTGGCTGTGGTTCTGTTTGAGATTTGAATCATATCATTCATATACTGTACAGTCGTAGAATCATATGTGTGGTACACAGTACATAAGGCCATAAGGAATTGCGACATTGTAATAATTTTTATTGTGTGAATTGGGAATTGCGACATTGTGGGAATTGCGACATTGTAATATTTTATTATTATTGTTATTGTGGGAATTGCGACATTGTAATATTTTATTATTATTGTTATTTTGCTTTGCGCCTCTTAAACCAACCGGACAAAGTGGTAGACAGGAACGATTATCGTACTCACTGGTTTGCACGGAACCAGTACAAAAGCCGAAACGGTTTATTTACCTAAACATGTACATGTTTGCTTTTCTAGATTTATTGCTTAACATCTCTAGATACAAGGAATCGCTCCTTATCGAGATCTACAGACAACCAAATCAGAAACAATGAAATTCAAACACATATTCTCCAATGAAATATGTCGTTGATTAAAAACAGAGACGAGAAAGAAGGTATTAACAAGGTAACAGCTCTTTTATCCAAGGAATATGCTCCCATGAAACGCTGTCCAATGCCTTCTCAAAGGTCCGTAAAGACCGATAAGCGCTTTCATTCAAGTTGAGGTCATTCCATAGTTTGGCGGTCCGGTTGGAAAATTCGTTTTCATTTGCCGGTACAGTTGTGCCACAAAAGGTTGTGTTAGCCGCTTGGATCGGGAATGGATGTTGAGCCATACGAGTGGCATTCCGCGTGTTACCTGCAACAGTACTAACGGCAGTAACGGATTCATAATCAACGAAAAAATTATCGCAAAAAGGAGTAATACCAAATAACATTTTATAAGCTAGAGTCAATGAACGCTTTATGCGACTATCCCAGCCGCATTCTCGGAGACGACCACAGTAGTCATCAGCGGCATTTCCTAAGCGTAAACGCTTGAGAAATTTGAATGCGCACTTTTCAAGGGCATCCCTGGGTGTTTTAAAAAAAGGATTTACTACGGGACTACAATAATCAAAGATGGGTAGGACAAGAGCTTTGAATAAACATATTAGCGCCGCAGAATCATAACTATCGAACATCGAAAACAGGTAGCAAATTCGTTTGCGGACTTTCATACACAGACTACTGGTATGTTCACTCCAACGCAGATGTCTATCAACAAACAACCCCAAATATTTTGTAATATTTTTCTGTTCAACCTCTACGTTGTTCAAATAATATTTAGGGACAGATGTCAAATCACGCTTCAAAGAAAAACGTATAAACACAGATTTTTTTGGATTAAAACTTAGGTTTTTCTTCGCTGCATAATCGGAAACCGAATTAATATCTTCCTGTAACTTTTCGCGATCATCGTCCCCAACTATTGGCCTACCTAAAAAAACGTCATCTGCAAAGATAAAAATTTTACTTCCATTAGGCAAGACAGCTGGCAGGCCGCTCAATTGGCAGTTGAAAAAAATAGGGCCAACTATGGATCCCTGTGGTACGCCGCTGGTTACAATACCGCTCTCAGAAACCTTGCCATTTACAACTACCACTTGTCGCCGATGCGTTAAATAGTTGCTGAATAGCCGTACGACATCAGGAGGTACGGAGAACGAAGCGAGTGTTTCAAGCAGTGATGCATGGTCCACTCGGTCAAACGCCTTTGAACAGTCAAAAAACAGGGCATCCACTTCGTAGCCACTTCCAATAAAATCTTTTATGAATTTTGTAAAAAGCAACGACTGTAGTTCTGTACTTCTTTTTGCTCGATACCCAAATTGATTATCACTCAACAACCCGTTAATTTTTAGAAAAAATGTTAAATAATTAGCCAAGCATCGTTCGAAAATTTTGGATACAGGATGCAAAATAGCAATTTCTGTCTTTACATTTCCAGGTTTATCTTTCCTGTTCCCGTTTACTTTTCATATTATCTTCCCTTTACGTTTGGTAATCATTTGACTTTAACGCTTATTTGACAAGTTCTTTTATGTCAGTCTACTGCACATTATAAAATTCAGAGGGATTTTTCAATTTGCAACTGCGCTTGCTTTACCTTCTTATCTCAAGCCAAGACATTTTGCTTAACAGTGACGAGGTTGAACGATCACCTTAAAATCCCTGGTTTATATGCATATTCATCGTTGATAAATCGCGAGGCATATTATATAAACGGTGTGGTTTTTTTGTATGAATCCGAGTTTTCTGCCCTGATTTCAAGATAATTCCCTGGTTTTAGGATAATCTTGCAGAATGCTTTGGGATTACAATTACACAGGCCAGCTGGCCGGGCTAGGGGAAAATAAATTTAAGGTTATTGCTCCTATTGAGAGCAACATGTACACATCCAGAGAAATATTTTATTGCCGACGAACGGACAGCATTGAACCTGCAGAAATAGCAGTTAAGGACATTTTTCCGCGTGATGAAATCGTAAACCACTCTGAAATTCTCCGTATTGTCGAAGATTTAGATTCCGTCCAACGAAAACTTCTGGGCCTTAAACATCCTAATGTAATTCATCGCTTAGGAGTTTGTCACGGCCATTATGACGGGGTGGGGCGTGACTTTTATCGTTATTTCATTGTTATGGAATATTGTTCGGGTAAAGAATTTCATACGAAGCTAAATAAAACAAAATGTGTTAGTTTACCGAGCGGAGACGAAATAGGACTTCCTTTTAGAAGGTTGTGACAGATTTTTCACTTTTAGGAGGTACGTTACACAAAGCTGCACAGTCGCATATACCTTCCCACCTAGTACGGAAGTGGACGCGCCAGATTGTAGAAGGCCTCGCATATCTGCATGAGAACCGCATCATACATCGCGATTTGAAAGGGCCGAACGTTTTACTGAGTACTTCACATTGGGACAGCTGTTGCATGAAAGTGTCCGATTTGGAATCCTGCAAGCCATTACGCGGCGACCAAACTCAGCCCGGAGAGGTAACGCAGAATGCGGGCACAATTTACTTTATGTCTCCGGAAATGATTAAGGGCAACGATAACAGGCTTTCCATTGGCCGTAAGACCGACATCTGGAGTTTGGGATGCCTTATTCTAGAAATGATGTACGGATGGCCGCGTTTTTATAAAAACGTGAACGGAATACTAAAACCAGTAAAATATGATCTGGCCCCCTTGCATTATGTTGGAACTGGAGGGTCACCATACATTCCCCGAGAGACGCCCTCCGAACTGCGGACTTTTTTATCCAACTGCTTGCAGCACGATCCCTCTTCTAGGCCGATAGCCATCGAATTGCTAGAGGAACCATTTTTAACTGCCGAATTTGTTACCCCTTTGCCAGATCGAAGCCATGATCCACTGTAAGTGCCATCAGCATCCTTTGTAACCGCTTTTAGGGCCTTAACATCGTTTTGGCGTGCAGCTGCGGCTGCCCAAATAAATAAAACAAACTGAACAATTACTTGCTGAAGTTCGTTTTGGAAAACTGCATGCAGCTTTCATCTGTTATTCGGCGCAGTGGCGAATATTCTAAAAACCTAAGCACAAGTACTTACTCGGGCGTACCGCCATTTCGGCATAGGGACATTTCGGCATTGGACACTTCGGCATAAGACATTTCGGCATAAGGACATTTCGGAATAGGGACATTTCGGCATACGGACATTTCGGCATAAAGTTTAGTATACTGATAATACCTAATCATGATGGAAAGAGCGGATAAATTGGAAGAACTTTTGTTACTGTAAAACTGTTTTCGTTGTAAAACTCGTGCATGGTAACTGGCTTGTGCTAATAAATGATGACCGTGGGTCCATGGTAAGAAACCTATATGCCAATGAATTTTACTCAATCTAAGAAAGTGAAGGAAAAACGCATAGAATTTCAAAAACTGAGAACGTAAAAATCCTAAAACCTAGCAAACCTAAAACATGCCAAACATGCAAAATTAAACCAAAAACCTTATAAAAAATAATGAAACGCAGGAAGACATAAGATGCCTTAGCAAACTTGAAAAATTGTATGTTAAAATGCGAGGATTTGATAAAAACTTTAGAAAAGCTAAGAAGACCTGCAAATATATATAAACCTAAGAAAACCTAAGAAACCTAAGTAAAACTAAGAAAGCCTAGAAGATCTAAGAAGATCTAAGAATACAAGGTTTAACAGTACAAAGGAGACATAAAATAACTGGAGCCGTTTTTTAATTTGATGTTGTTTATAATGCAGAAATGTCCGTATGCCGAAACGTCCACATGCAGAAATGTCCTCATGCCGAAATGTCCTCATGCCGAAATGTCCTCATGCCGAAATGTCGTTATGCCGAAATGTCCTATGCCGAAATGTCCTATGCCGAAATGTCACTATGCCGAAATGGTCGGACACGCTTACTCGTACATATCTGTACGCTGATTAACACACCAGCACTAATGCGTGCTCGAGTACAAGCTGCTGTGGATTGCAGTCACAGGGCCGAACATTTTAGAAAAGAGTTTAGTTTTCGCGCATAAGCCTTCCCGCAAATGGATGGACAGTGTAGAATTAATACTAATGGTCCTTGTTAACAGATCACTGCACGAGCGCAAGCGATAGCCCGCTCGGAGTTATCGCTCGCCCAATACGTGTAGTGTGTAGTTCCAATGGAAATGCGGGGGTTTTGGATTGGCACATGGTTTAAATTTTGACATTCGCAACAAACTACTTAATTCCGCTGTGTAAATCGCCAATTAATTACGTGACCGAATTAACAGCCCATGTGGCGCACGGCAACAGTCAATCCGTAATTCAGTCTGTACACCACGGGGAAACCAGGGAAAATTTTGAGGCCCGGGAAATGACTAACTGAATTTATCCGCCGATTTCAGGGCAGCTGGCCAGGGAGAAGAGTTTCGACTACAAGGAAATCTGAAGGAGACATTCGGGTTTGACTGTTGTTATAACAACAATCCGGCGGATTACGTTGGGAGAGGCAGCTACGGCGCGGTTTATAGAGCAACAACTACCCGAGTAGTGAAGTGAGCTTTCTGGAAAGATTCCACTCCGTGAGCAATGGCGAAACAACATTTGCTGTCAAGGTTGTAACTGTGGACATGCTGACAGAAGCGCATTATGCAAGACTCCGTGAAAGGTTTAAACTTTTATGCGAATTTGATCACCCTCACGTGGCCGCATATGGCACAATCAATGCGAAAACAGAAAACGGAAAACTACAAATAGAGTTCTTGATGGATTACTATCCCGGTAAGTGACCAACGAAACATAAGCAATTACTCACCTGATGTTGGATATACATACCTTTCGAGTTACAAGTATGTATGCATTTTTGGCTAAACACAAACATATGTATGTCTACTTTGCGCTGTATGTATTGTGGAAATCCCCACATTGTGGGTTCAGTTGGGAACTTGGGATTGACTCACTTGTACAGATTGAGTTCTTTTATGGCTCACAACTAGCTATATAAAGCCCGGACTTAAATGTATAACAATAATATTAGGAGGAGACCTTAAGAAATCTATAACGTCGATCAAAAACGGAGGCCCTCTTCTTGACAAGCATACCGCAATTCGCTACATGTCCGATATCACAAATGGACTGAACTATCTGCACGAAAGCAAGATTATTCATGGAGACATAAAACCAGCAAACATTTTGGTTAAAGATATAGAGCCCGGACGAAGTAGCCTGCTGATCACTGACTTAGATGACCTTGTAAAAATTCGTGGAGAACGAACATGTTCAGCTGATATCAACTGCGTAAAGGGCACCCATCGCTACATGTCACCGGAGATGATGAAGACCTTTATTTCAGTAGAGACAACATGTCCTGGTCGAAAAACGGATATTTGGAGTTTAGGCTGGATCATGCTAGAGCTTGCCCAGTGTACTACCGGTCAATTCGACAAATTTCTCCAGAACACTAAGAACTCGGAGCGAGTCAAGGTCGAAAAAGAACTCTCCGGATTTCATTTTACATCAAAGATTGTCGAAGGATATGTTCCATCCATTCCTGAGAAGATCCCAGCTGATCTTAATCACTGCATCAAACGATGTTTGTGTGTATCCGCCGATAGCCGTATTTCAGCAAAAGATTTGCTGCTGCACTTGTCCAGTCTCACAGTTAACTGACTTCAAATCTGTTAGGGAACAGAACACTATTAAAATGCATTGTATCATAGTCGGTATTCTCCATTCGATAGAAATCATCAATATAACAAAACGCTACTGACCATGGTGAGACAGGGGTGGGTTCGCGTGATATTAATAATATATACTCAAAATTACTGAAATCATCAGAAAAGGACAACCAATCGTCAGAGCCGTTCGAAATCTCACGGTGCGTAGAAGGATTCACTTTATTTTGCACCTAAAATGCAGTAGTGTTCAGATTTAGCACTGGCCGGTTTGCGGTTAAATACGTTCCCTAAGCAGTGTATACTTTGTCAAGTAATAGTTATCTGCGTTGTGCAGTTTCCTATTTAAGGTGACTGACACAAGCCCTGGATGCACTGCACTTCGTTCGATGCAGCAATATAAACCATCGTCAAAACAGCCACTTTAAAAATTAAGGCGAAGAAACCGAGAGGGACCAACGATGATGATGAGCGCCGGCCGGATGGTGTGTCGCAGTTGTCATGGAGAAACGGACTACGACTCGCTTGGAACGTAACATGTGTTGACACAGTAGTCTTGTCTAAAGTCATTAGCAGCAGTACTAAAGCCGGAGAAGCTGCCAGAAAAGCGGAAAAAGAAAAGTGCCGAAAGTACGAATATCTGGTGCCTGAGTACGACTTCGTCCCTTTAGCTTCCGAGACTTTTGGTGTAGTCGGCCGAGCTTGTATGAAATTTTTACGTGAGCTAGGAACACGCTTGAAGAATGCTTCTGGCGAAAGACGATCGTACGAATTTTTGATGCTACGGGTATGTTTTCTACGGGTATGTTTTCTTGCGTTTCTAATGTTTTCTGATTCAGTGATTTCTGATAACATTCTACCCGTTCTGGTTCGGTGATTTATGATAAGTAATATTCTTCCCGGGTGTAGGTTATTCTTGGTGCATTCGTGGACAAAGCCGTGGTGGTGCGCGAGAACGGTATATGGCCTTGGACAGAGGAACGGCTGAATGACTTTCTCGAGTTCACGCAGACATTCGTCATCGAGACCTGGAGGTCTTCAGCCGGTTCGTACCGGATCCTCTAACTTCCATCAAAGAAAGCTTCCTGAAAGACAAGCTGCAGTCGGACGAGCCCATTGGATGGACGTTGCATGTCGCGCTTTCTCACCAAGTAGGTAAGAGCTGGTTTTTGCCGATGTAAGCGCTATCGCCCGCAATTTTTGAGCGCTCCACTGGAGTGTTGAGCTATCGGCACATGAATTAATGTTTGTAATGTTCGTACTCTATCTTTTTTTAAGGATTGTTCAGCTGCTAGGAGATGAGGATATCGACTCATCGGCTTCCATCGGTTCGCTATGATTGACCCTGGATCGCCATCGCACTTTCCCACGCTGGCTACAGTATTTGATGATCCAGCTACTGAAGGATCCGTCTATGGCCATTTTTCCCAGCGATCGGGCAAACGATATTCTTGTTTTGCCTTTCGAAATTTGAAGTTTATCTTGTGCTTTAACCATTCGCTTCGAGACTGGTCGTCTGTCTCAGTTGTGTTTCATGCGATACTTGTTCAGCCACTTGACCCACGGTCGATAATTATTATGGTAGTTTACCAGTTAGTGTCCCGGGGTTACTAAGTTTTCGTGTGGCCTTCGGGATTAATTTTTTTCCTTTTGCCAGTGTATTTATGCGCTTTCGTGAGGCGTTCTAACGAACGGAATTGTGTTTAACCCAGCTTAAAGTTCATGTCGAAGTTACGGTGTTCAGTGTTCCTATTTTGTATTCTGCGTACAATCTGGCCAAAAGGCGCGAGCGACTCGCGCTCGCGTCGATTTTCACTTGGAACGTGAGTACTGTATTTCGCGGCACTATATACAGCAAAACGCAATAGGATTATGGTCCTTTTTTAGTTTAAAGGATGCTCTGCTTAACAGTTATTTAGTTGCCCATTGCCGGATAGGATAAAAACATGCAGCAAGTAATCTTAAACTTGAATGGGAAACGAGAAGGCTCATTAAATATCATCCTATATATTAATAAAATAAGCCTTAGCGAATTCCATTTCTGTCTCCCTTTTTTGAGCGAGCCACTGAACCAAACTTTGATGTCTATATGTCATTTAACAGCCGTTAGTTTGCAGATTTGCAGAAACCAGTTAGTTTTTTGAAAATATGTGAAGTTTCCGAGAAAATCTTAAAAGATCTTAACATACAAAGTCTATGGGAAAAGTGGAGAAGCCACCACTGCAAACCCACCCACGCCACCACCCTGATGAACAGCATAGGAAAACTTCAGGAAAAGCATTCATCTACACTTGATGGAACTTTGGTGTCCCTTAGTTATCCAATTGCCTTTAGTTCATAAAGTTTTTATTAAGAGTTAGTTTTTAAAAAATGTAGGCTTTGAAAGTGATGATTTTTAAAAACTGAACATGCGGAATCTTCTGGAAAGTGGGAACGCCTCTAACTCCAAAGATAAAGTAGTTGCCTTTCGCAACGGGTTGATTAGATTTAATATTGAAACTGCTTCCCCAGGGCGGTTGGCTTTGGCAACATCGTGATGACGTGCCAATAAACATCGGAAATCGCCAATAAACATATTATTTTGTGAGAGACTGAAATTCGATTTCAGGAATTTTGGTGTTCGACTGGAAATGATGTGGACTGCTTGAGCAAAACAACGAGTCTCAGTCCCGCCGGGCGTAGGGACAAGGTTCCAGTCTAACCACCGCCGGGGGGGAGGGGAGGGAGGGAAGGCGGCCCAAGTCTTTTCCGGCGACTGAAGTGAGGAGCGCGTATTTTTAATGTCCGCAGGGGGAGGGACGAGGGAGGGGAGATTAAAATATTTTCCAAAAGACTAAGGAACGTAGAAAAGCGGTTTTATTAAAACAAAAAACGCATTTTTTAGCATTAAAAAGTTTAAAACAAACAGAAGATTCAAAAATCAAACTTATCCGCTTTCTAATCGTATTTCCACCAGCTATAAAGCAATCCGTCAGATCATCTCCCATCAAAGGTCAAAACTAAAAAACCCAGTAGGAGGTGTGTAAGCAGTACGAGGAAACTGGACACCGGAAAGCATTTTTATTCTAAGTGGTCTAAAGGTTAACATCGGTGGTCGTACCGTCGTATCACTGGATTGTTTTGTCCGTCACAACGCACTGGCTAAAATTTAACAAAGCTCAGAATGGTATCTGAACCAGTAGAATTACTGTAATACGGCTATATACAGTAATTATGGAGTTTTTCTTATTTGTAGTTCTTGACAACTCACCAGCATATGCTGCTGACTGATTTGGGAAAAGCTTAAAAACTTTTTTTTATAACTGCAAAAAAAGGCATACAGTATTCCTAGAAATAATGGAAATTGTCAAATTTTGCGGGTTTGATTTAAGATTAAATCTGAAGTCAGCGGAACACGACAATGTTTTCTCAAAGCGGCCCTAAACATTTAATTAGTAAACTGTGATACATTTTAACTCCTATTAATATGTCAGTGAACTATGGCCAAAATAAAGAATAATTTACGACATAAGTTACGATAAGTAGTCAACCAATAGGTACGGTATATGGCAAATACTGTCTGCCTCTGCCAGTGAAACTATTGTATATTATTATTATTATACGCTCCGCTCAATAAAACTAAATTTGTATTTTGTAGTCATTGGTTTGTCCTCTGCAGTTTTCGTAAATAACAATTTATCGCCAATTTATTCCGCGCAGTTTGCGCGGGGTCTACTAGTACGTACTGATAAAATATTGCTAGTAAGAAACTTTATTCGGTGAGGGTAGTGACCCTCACCAAATAAGAAATTTGCAAGACATACAGAGTACAAAGCAGTTCTGAAACAACCTTGTGATCGTAGTAACGGTAATGTGTTGAACATATTATCTCGGCCTTCCTCCCTTGCGAAAATCGAACAACTTGCGAAAGCTCTATAGCGTCGAATTCAAGATGGAGTGAAACTTGATAGAAACGCGACAGAAAGTTTTTTGAATGAGTATGACACTGAACATGAATTAATAACAGACGGCATTGTTAATTAAATTAAGAGAGAAAACCTGACGTAGAGAAATAAAAACCAATAAGACCACATGATGCGGAGACTGGACGGGTGGGATGTGAACAGCAACTTGCGACGTGCAGCTCCACTCTGGAAATCATAGCCGAATAAATCAACCAGTTGTTGATGTCCATGTCAGTTTGTCAGTGGAGAAAAACCAGGCATATTCAGCATCGAGCAGTTGCAAAGGCTCTTATCCTATCCCAACGTTCAGTGAGATTTCCGCGCATGTTTTGTAGTAGCTGCTGCTCGTGTGGCGAGAAAACGACGGTAGACCAGGACCCACCGCGCCAAGTATCGTACATTTCAAAGGCCAACAGATGCCCGTCCGCCGCATTGCGGCCGCCAAAGACGTATATCGTGTCGTTGACCACGCACGCTGAATGTCGGTATCGTGGTTCCCGAAGAGACGGAACATCTTCCCAGCAGGCGTCAGTTTCGATGTTCAAACGGATGCAGCCTGCTGTTGCATCCCATGGCTGCTTTTTTTTAATGATCTTTCCGCCAATGATATACACGTACCCGTTGGAGAAGGTCATGGCAAATTGATTGCGTGCTTGTGGAAGGTCCGGTAAGGGTTTCCGCTGGTCGGCAACCGGATCGTAAAGTTCCAGCGCCGTAACACGTCCGTCTCGATTGTGGGCGTACAGAATCTTTTGATCACATTCAGCTAATGCGATCATGTCCTGCCTGCAAGAAAAAGACATGTTGAGAGTTGCTCTAGTCGAACTACACAGGGTTGTGTTTTGTCGATCCTGACTGCGAATACTCGATTGCTTTGTACTGAAATTTTGCTACTAAAGACCTGTTTACTGCATCTGGTTTAGTCTCGCCAACAGAAAGCAATTATTCAGACACTTCGAATACGGCCCGAAGGCGAATCTCCGCCTCTTGCGAGTGCGTGATCAAATTTATTCTTGGTTCTGGTTATCATAGGGCAGCTACTTTGGATAGCCTTCCATTCTTTCTCAACCTGCGTAACCAGAAGTCTGGCAGATAAAAACGGAAGATAGAAACGGTTTCGCACTGGAAGTGCGACATTACCCATACAGATAAGGAACTGTAAGTTGGTCACTAAGCGCACTTACTTTACTTGATTCTCTTATTAATTTTCTAATTGGTAGGCATGGGTTTTGAATTGAACGTTGCATATGAAGGTTGCAAAGCTGACCTTAAAAAATTCTTGAGCTGGTGAAATAGAAATTTAAATAGCAGAAATGGTGTATCCCTTTCAGTTCAGATTCTGCATTTCATATAGCCAATGACGCAACAGTTTTGGATTAAAAGCATGTGTAACCGTCCAAAACGCCCGGGAAGTTAACACGTCCAGCGGCTGTTTTGGTCCATGAATCGTCAGTTTTGGCTATAAACTACTCGAAACATCCGGAGACCACCAAAAGACCACCTAAAATTTTACCTATCCAGTTTTTCTTCCTTTCTAGAATCAGTAAAGGAAGATAACCAGTGAGGTTTTCATTTGCGCTAAAATGATCGTTAAAATGAGAGATGGGTGAGTGGTGTGTGAACTGGTATCTGAACGCCCCTTGCCAGACTTTAAATTCGTATGAAAGTGCTTTGGTCTGACGCCCCGGGCGGGATACGAACTGTACGACCAAAATGCAAACGTTCCGATACGAATCTACGATCATACAAAAATTTCCTAGTACAAATGTGCGCTCGGCACTCCCGTATACTGTACAATCGCAAACTCTGAGAAAGCTGGATGAGCAAATTTTAGTACTCGGACTTTGTAGTGATTCCCAGGCGGGTAGAACGATTTAAGGACCAAACCGTCCGCCAGACGTGTTAGCTGTCCTGGTGCTTCGGACGATTTTATGTTTAGGAAGGCTTATAAGTGATTATGGATAGCGTACCTGGCTTTAATAGGTGCTGGTCTCGCAAAAATTTCCTGGCCGTTACGCATGTCCACGGCCACGTACTCACAACCATCACCTGGCTCCCGAAGATAATAAATCAGGTCCTTGATGATAACGGGATTGGAGCAACCGACGAGCTTCGACTTGTTGCTGGTTGGGGAAAACATGCGCCACGTGTTCCGATCGATATTCCACATGTACATTTCTAGTTTCATTTTGTCCCTCACAGCGTAAAAGGTCAGCTCGTTGTTAGGAATACTAAGCTGGAGGCGGTACAATTCAGCCGGCAAATCGTATGGCACCGACACTTTCTGTTCTCGCAGTTGCATGTTTAAGGGATCGAAATGTAGTACTTCCAATTCACCGAAATGGGCAATACTCGAAATTACCGTTATGGTTATGGCCGGCAACTTTTGCAGTAATTCCCTGGCGGAAATGCGGTCTTTGGGAATTGGCTTCAAGCAGAGTTCCACACAGGCTGCCAAATGCGCCGGTATGTCATCACCGATAAACGGCACATAACCTTTTAATATGCGTGAGGCAAAGTCGATGTTGGACTTGCCCAGGCTGACTATTTTACCATTTTTTTCCAATTTTTTTTCTGTGTCATCCCGGTTTATATGGCATTCAGCAATCTCCAGCATTATGCAACCCAAACTCCAGATGTCGGTTTTCCGTCCAATTTCCGCTTGGGCTATCTGCAGATTGAATTTTTTCAGCATTTCCGGTGACATATAGCTGTACGTTCCCCGCAGCTGGGATATATCCTTCGAACATGTGGCTTTGTCGTGCATAAGCACTAGATCGTCCAAATCACCGATTAACAAATGCTTAGTGTTGTCCGGCAGATTTTTAACTAAAATGTTGGCCGGCTTCAGATCGCCGTGAATTATTCCTTGCTGATGCAGAAAATCCAGTCCTGTTGTTATATTATGGCAGTAACGTTCAACATCTGCGTATCGGTTGAGGAGGTTGGTGTTGCTCCTTGCTTCCTTCAAGAACGATGCCAGATCACCTACAAGGCACCGAAGCGATACAATTGTCGTGAAATGATGTTGATAGAGCATCTACAGATAAATTGCAATTAATTGATACTCACTTCTGCGAAAGGGCTTTTCGCTGTTTGTTTTTGGGAAGATGTTACACACATAATGTTACCAGTGCCGCTATGAAAATCGGGAATACCGTTCTATCTCATATGAAAATTCAATACTCCGCTTTAGTTTTTCCACAGTTTTTGACACTACAATCCAAAAATTTAATCTCTTTCTGTATACCACTAATTTGAAAGAAGAAGCGGTATTTAACTTAAAAACATTGTAATAATAACGCTAGTGCTGTACAGGCACAACACCAATCTGCCCTTATGACGCTGTAGGGCGCTGAACGCCACAGTACAACAGATGAGCAAATCAAAACAGCTACTTTACAATGAACAGCATATGTATAACCATAATATTACCAAACTAACGTTAGTTTAGTTTGGTAATATTATGGTATGTATAACTAACTTCGTTTTAAGGCAAATCGCGGAAACAGGCGCAAATATGCTTGTACCTAGCGTTGGCAATTTATGCGCATGGAATACAATATGTGCCTGTTGCAAACTGTTTGTTGATTTTATAACTGACTTTTTGTCAGCCACGGATCGGCTGTCGACTGACCGGTTTCCATTTTTAGGACATGCTAACAAGCTCTCAACTCACCGCTGCAGCGCTCCATCATTATCTCGATGGTCCCTCCGTCAGGGCCTTTACTAATGCGGATCTGGTAATACGGTACGAGATGCCGGTGCGATAACTCAGGCAGTTTTCTCAATTTTTCAAGTGTTTTGTCCCAGGTCTCTTGATCCATTGCCATTTCCCTTTGAACATCTTTAACAGCTTTAACCGCCACAACATCGGCACCGGTGTAATCGCCGCGTTCTGTGATTGTTGCGTTGTAGACCACACCAAATGTTCCCTTGCCAATGAAGTCCTTACCGGCGGAGTAACGATACCGGCAATTTCTACCGATCGTTTCCACGTCGGGGTTATCTGGATTTTTCGACCACTCGGTCCCCATTTCAGAAGGAAAGTAATAATGAAAAAGTTATTAAAGTTATTACGAAAGAACGCTTCCACTCTGGTCCATCCTTTTACGCTGATTGCACAGTGAGCTGTGGCACACTTAACGAGCCGATACCAGTTCAAGCAAATGTGTGTTGTGTACTTAGTGGTTTACATAACTGATAACAGGATCAACTGTAAACACTAAAGCCAATAACCGCGTCTAAATACTCATCGATTTGCTACAGCAGTTGGGTAGTGTAATGCAACGATTTCGCATCCATTTGATGATAACAAAGTTTGCTTGGGAAAACGGGCGCAGTCGGTTGAATTGCAAGGAAAATGCAGTACGAGTATTTAACATCGCATCTCTGTTGATCAGAATGGCAATTTGGTACCAGACTTACGTACAAGAACTAAAACTGTATTCTCAAAGCATTTTCTTATTGATTTGTGTAGTTCTGCTTGTGGTTTAGAGGAAACCGGTTGCTCGCGAATTGGCGCACATTATTGTTTTGGTGAGACGCTACGATTTTACAAAGGGGGTGATTTTATTATCGCTAACTGAACAACAACACGGCAGAACAACCTCTAAACAAGGAAGGAGAAAAAAGAAAATTTTGCAAGTTACAGCAACATTGCAATGGCAATTAAACGCGGTAAACACGTGCATGCGGTAATGCTTATATATGGTCGCCTGGCTGTTGGCATGCAAGCTCATATTAGTGAGTGGATCCTGATAGGTTAACAAGGCACAAAAGGGGCATGATAACAACCAGTATTCAAAACGGACATGAACACGATACACTGCACAAGAGAGACGCGTCATCACCGTACAATAATACTTAGATTACCGGCGTAATCTATCCCATTATTGTTTTGGTGAGACGCTACGATTTTACAAAGGGGGTGATTTTATTATCGCTAACTGAACAACAACACGGCAGAACAACCTCCAAAAACCCCCAAGAAAGAACGGAAGCTGGAAAAGGCAACATGAAGAGAGAAGGGCAACTGGATGGTGAATAGCAGCTCAGCAAAGGGCTTCCCGCATGGCTTGACAGAATTCCAGGCGATAGTCGACGTCCCGACGCACATACTGCTGATAGCAGTCGCTTTTCCAGTGTCCCTGGGCTTTTAGTGATGCGGTGGATATCCCCACTGATGCGGAAAATGTTGCGGCTCCACTGCGTAGTGAATGGGTGGATATGCGGGAGGCGGGAAGGCCGGCGCGGTGGGCGCACGAGGATAGAAGGTTGTTGTAAATGCTAGAACACATGGGCATTATTTTCCCATTATCAAAATAGGAAAACAGGGCGCTTTGGGGCGTGCTTGGTGTAGATTCCAGCAGCCTGCGCAATGCCCTAACAGGACAAAGCGGTTTCTTCTGTCCCAGTCTATAAACTGGTATGGTGATCGTTTTCTGTTGAAAGCGATCTGTTTTCAAAACTTTAACTGACAGAATTGCGCCTTGCTGAGTAAATTCAACGTCGCCGGCGAGCAGGTGACAACCCGCTTTGCTTGGGAAAAGGTTGGCGCTGCGCAAAAGTGAGGAAAACCCAACCACAGTTGCGGCCCAAAAACAGCGGCGATATATTTTGTCAACAGAACTAAATGCACATAGATTTTTAGCAAATCCGCGGGCAACAGCGGATCTCGCTTGTTCGGCAGTTCAGTGCGAATGCGCTGCAGGCCTGACAAGGCTTGCTTAATAGAGAAATGGTTTAAATCGGGTGGAATAAAATTATTAAATGTATGAAACGAGATCAAACTGGCAACATAATTTTTAACTGTTGAAAATTCTAAATTTTTCGACAAATGCGCAACATAGAGGGCTACAGTTTCCTCACTAGCTGGCAAGGCGCGCAGTTTATACTGCGTGCAAAAGGTCACGAAAGTCTTCCACTGCGAGGCCCGCGTTTTCGATGTGGTGATTGCCATTGATTTAATCCGGAGATCGGATAATCTACGGCGCAGTTTGGAAACTGCAACAACCACAAAAAGGCAATTTAGGGCCAGGAAAACTGCTTTTAAAAAATTCAAAAAAAGCGAGATCTGTGCTGCGGAGCTTCCGTTAAGCGGCTAAGAGCATCCGCAAGCACATTTTTTACGCCAGCCGAGTGCGTGGCCATGACCTTGTAGTCATGGGCTACACTCGCTGCAAACACACGCTTAAGCCATTTGAGGGCCTCCAGGTTTTTAGTCGTTCCTCTGTTGAGGAACGAAACAGTTTGCGTGTTGTCGGACAGCACCAACACTTTCGCCCCTTGTAAATACGGGGCGCAAATTATTAGGGGAATGCAAGCAGCGATTAATTCCAAAAAATTAATGTTTTGTTGGATCGAATTATGTACGTCCGGCGGCGGTAACCAGTTCTGTTCAAACCCTGAGGGGATATTTGAACATGCGGTGCCCCAAGTTCCGGCGAGCCAGATGCCATTAACCACCGCACCAAAGCCGCTAAAGGACGCATCCGTGCAAACCGTAACCAGTGTTCGAGGAACACCGAATGGGCACGGACAAAGGCCGTTAAAATCGGACGCGAGCTGCTCCCACCAAAGCAGCTCGTGGCGCAAAAGCCGGTTGACTTTTACCTTATGCCAAGGCTTCTCCAGCAGAGAAAGTTCATCAATAAAAATTCTTGAGAAAGTACGGGCACCATAAATCGCTTTGGATGCAAACGACATGTGCCCAACTAACACCTGCAGTTCTTTTTTTGAAATGCACTTTGCCTCTTGATGAATTTTTACTAAACACAACAGTTTCTCAAGCTTGTCAACTGGTAGCTCCAGCCGCTGAAAAACGGAGTCAATAATTAACCCCAGAAAGGTTATGCGTTGGCTTGGTCCAACTACTTTCTCCCATTTGGCAGAAAAACCAAGCCTCGTCAACAAATTTAAAAAGAACAATAATGCTGCGTTACAACTTTCGTAATCTTTGCCAATTAATAGAAAGTCGTCCAAGTAACAAACCACTAAAAACCCACGCTTACGCATTATTGTTGCTAGCGCACGCGATATTTTTTGAAATATTGCCGGTGCATTCGCCAACCCGAAACACAGACATCGGTCAACGTAATATTTTTCAGGTTCTCCTTTGAACGCCCAGCGGAAACCTTGCAGCTGCCGCTGTGTCGGGTGAACCGGCACCGAGCGGTAAGCTGCTTTAATATCTACTACCGCGAAATAGCAATTAGGTGTTCCTAATTGCAATGCATCGTCAATAGATTCAAAACAAAATGGCTGAGCCTCAATAAAGGAATTCAAAGAATCATTAATAGGACGACTGCAATCAGTAATAGGCCTAACAGAGCCAGTCTCCTTTTTAGGGACAGCTCCTATGGCTTGTATACGCAGAGGCTTCTCTCTCTGCTCCTTAATGCGACCTACTTGCAGCTCTTCGCGAAAAAGCCTATCCAAGACAGGCTTTGTCTCGTCACTAAGAGCGCTGGGGTAATTCTTGCAATCGGCTGGCCCGATTGCATTCCAGTCATTAACAATACGAAATCCTTCACGGATACCGTTTAGAATAAAATCAGCGTCATGGACGCCAGAGAGCTCGGTGACCCAGTTGGCATAATTCCGGGTCAAACAACAAAATTCCATTAATTCTTCAGACGGCAGACCGGCTGACTCTGAGCTGTCAGAGTTGCACGGTGCCAAACAGTTAAACTGCGTTTCGATTAGAAGCACCGGCACCGGTGTGTCCGGTGTCGCGATGCTCACGGAAATTGTGTCCTCGCTTACCACACTCTCCACAGACGTGGTTGAAAGAGCAGGAAGCTGCAGAACGGGGACAGTTACCTTCTTGGAAGGCAAAACAACAGGCAAATCTGTAGCGGCTCGTAATCGAGCCACCGCGCCCGCGAAAAAGCTGCTGATTACCGGCTTTATTCGCGTCACGGCGGTTGCCGGCATGAAAGTGCTTAGCGCCGATACTGTTACGCTGTTGGAAATCGTTAAGCGAAAACTGTTCTTCCTTAGCTGAATGTCGAAAATCGTGGTCAAACGCCATTACAGATTTGTCATCAAAGTTACACCGCATTGCAGATAAAAATTCATTATACTCTAGATGTTCAAGCAGAGTGTGGGCGTACTCTCCTGACAAGGTCTTACACAATTTAACTGCAGTGCGCCAGCTGTGAACAGCGAATTCATCAAGCGATAAATCGGATGGCGACACCGTATTACTCTTGGCACCCGGCTTGGGGCAAGCCAGTTCATGCGGACGTTTCAGGTTGCGCGCTTCCGTTGGGAAGTGGCCACCGCCGCACTCGGATGACTGTTGTTTGGCGCTCTCACCAGAACTAACAGAAATCACACTCAAAGAGCGTGCAAGCTTTTTATCGCACAACTCACCTCCAGGCGTTGGAGTGCGGAAGGGGCGCTCTGGCACAGGAACGGGGCCCGGCTGCCGGTGACCTTTCGCGCTTTGCCCTCTGCCCGTGCCACGCTGTCGGCTGCTACTGCGGGATGATGACCCGGAACGACGAGACTCTTTGTATCCAGTGGAGAGGGTGTTCGATGGCTTCTGGGAGGATAAACCGGCACGAATGAACTTTTCCACGATGCAACGCACCCCGATGCGGGTAAGGAACTTCAGGTTGTCTGGAAACTGAGACGACTCTCCCAGGGTCAGCAGAATGGATCTGGTTGTGACGCCCTCCGATTCCATTTCCTCCAGGCACGTCTGGTCCAGCTTTAACAGATCCACCACTCTGGCAATCGGCTCGTTGTCGGTGAACAGGTGAGCCTCCAGGAGCTGAAGGAGCTTCTTCTTGTCATCGTCGAAAGTGTACGGCACATTCAAATGATCACAAAGGTCTTTCAAAGGCTTAAACTGCAACTTACGCAGGGCAGTTTTTGACTTAGGAACGTCCATGATTTACAAATTAAGAAAAATTTTGCAAGTTACAGCAACATTGCAATGGCAATTAAACGCGGTAAACACGTGCATGCGGTAATGCTTATATATGGTCGCCTGGCTGTTGGCATGCAAGCTCATATTAGTGAGTGGATCCTGATAGGTTAACAAGGCACAAAAGGGGCATGATAACAACCAGTATTCAAAACGGACATGAACACGATACACTGCACAAGAGAGACGCGTCATCACCGTACAATAATACTTAGATTACCGGCGTAATCTATCCCGAGTTTGCTGTGATATCGCGCATTCGCATAAGAGCAGATAAAACGTTTAAGTCAAGGCGCTTAAGTATCCATAGTACTCTTACGTTTTATAATTACTTAAGTAGTTTATGGAGACTAATAATTTTTTCAGTAACTAACTAAACTATCCAGTACGAATAAGAGCTTGTCATACTGGCTTTAGTATTGCCGATAACATTGTACTGCCAATAACATTTTTTAATGATTAGACTATCAGGGCTCACGGAATAGCAGAAAAACGTGTACTTATGAGAGTTCCGTTTTAAAGATTTTGGAAATTTAAAGTACCAACACTGCCACTTACTGTAAGAAAGAATCAGCTCTATTTGTGACCGGAATGATGCACAGTCCGCTGCCACAAAATATCCGATTTTACCAAAGCCAGGCCCGCGTTGGAGCGCGGGGGGCGGTGGGGTCGGCCGCCTCCCTCAGTTTTTCAGTTTGTCGGAGCCGGGGGGGGGGCAGACTTGAAAATACGCCGCAGACGTGCCGCCAGGGGGCGCTTTAAATTTTTATAATTTTTGATTTTTTTCGAATTTTTAAAAAATAAATATTGCGTTTTTCTCAATTTTTTGGGTTTCTTTTAAAGCTTATTATCATTCTTTTGTATTTTGTACGCTTTTTAAAGCTTTTTTTCATTTTTTTCGGATTTCCAAAATTTGGCGCCCCCCCCCCCGGCGGCCTTTCCGCCCCCCTTATCCAAAAAATGCCAGCGCGGGCCTGACCAAAGCTAAGCTTTCGTCATACCGGCACTAAGATTAACGCTGAGTTGTTAGTTAATACAGAGGCAATTACAGAGTTTCTTAAAAATAAGTTATTCTTAGGTTATTCAGTCAGAGTCAGAGTTTAGACAGTCAGAGTCAGACTTTGAGTAGTCAGAGTCAGAGTTTGAGCGGTCAGAGTCTGAGTCAGAGTCAGAGCTTGAGCGCGGGCCAGGCAATAACTAAGTGTAATTATAACAAACACGTAGTTTTAAATCGATATTAAACATCGGCTTTTATTAAAACATCGACTTTTTATTTTTAATTTCGAGAAAAAGTTCATTATTTCGCTGATTTATTTTATTTGAGGTGTAAACGAAAAACATGGCCACAGACACAGACAGGAAAGTTTCACTTTACATTGCATGCTCGACTGCTGATTACTGTAAAGTAATCCGGCAACAGCGATCCATCAGCAGTCTAGCTGGGACCCGAATTTTTTCATGGAATTCCATGTAGACTATGTAGCGCCCGAGTACAGTAATTATATTTACACCCTTACAGTACAGTAATCCTGCAAAGCAGTAAAAGTTGCTTGGCAACACAAGGTCTGGAGTCTGCATCACAGACGTCTAGGGGAGGTAATCCGCTGTTTTCTCGTCTGTATACATGGGCCGTCTACGCGCTGTCTAGAATCGAATTTCACATGTCTACGGTCTCCATTAGAGTGATTAAACCATAATGCTTGGCCGACTTTTTCCGAAGAGGAGGAATTTTCTGCTGGCCCGAAAGGTCAAAAGATTGACTCTGTTTTATGCTGCGTGGTTGAGTCGAAAAGAGATGTGAGTGCTATACTTAGCGTGAACTTTCTCATCAGCTGTTAATCTACAGGAACGGACTAAGAATGGAGGTGGCCAAGCACGTAAAGTTATCAAGCCAATCAAATTCCTATGAAGCGACGAGTAAGTAATAATTCACATAATAATTCACATAACGCCCCCCTCAGTTTCTATTACACGCTGCCAGCCCATGTTGGCTGACAGGTTCGCACAATGCGGTCTAGGTTATCAATTTATGGTAAGGAAAAACGCGTATATTAATTTAAGGGACACTTTCCTCGTATTCATGTTAGAATATTTTTCCTGTGATTCTTGAAGAGCAAGATTGACGTAGTACCTACCGTACAACTAACGAAAGCGATTCTCACGGGTAAATGTTTATATGCGGAAGTTCCGCATATAAACGGGCCTGGGAACTGGTCGGCCCGGGGACCGGGGTCATGTCGGGCCGCAGCCCAGATCGGCCCGCGGCTCGGGCCGTGTAAACGACGGCCCGGCCTTCTGCTCGACCGGGCCGGGCCGACCCAACACTATGCGGAACCAGAATTTCAAATTAATCGCGAAGTGAAGACAAAAGAATTCCTTCATTTCCAAAACTACTTTACAATTGAAAAATGAAAACACCATTGCAATTTTCGAAAGAACAACACTAACAACAGTTTAAATCGTTTGCATCGGCTAATTTTCCGAATATGCCATTCAACTTGTTTGTTTTATCAGTATAAATGTTCCTTGTATCATTCGCATTGCTTCCGTTTCCGATTTACATGAGATCGAGCTAATTTTAAAGGGCTTTGATTATACGGATTAAGATTTTGAAGCCCCCGGTTTACCTCAACAAGGCCATTCCGCCGTACACTATCGTCATTAAATACCGCAGAATATTGTTTTTCGTAATTAGAAAACGAGGCACTGAATGGAATTAGGTCATCACTGTTGATGAGGGTCGGCGGCTTTTTATAAAACACTTTATGTAATGACGACCGGATCTTCAGCTTAAGCCTTTCGCCATAAACTGTCCAAGGTGTCCATCTGCTAAACTGGAACACACGCTTTCAAAAAGCACCTCGTTCCAGTAAAAGCGTCATTCGTATATCCGGTCATTTCTTTCATGATACGGAAAGTGACCAAACGCCCAGGCGAAAGGAGCACAAGCTGATCTTCAGTTAAAACCGTTTTCAGTTTAACGCACTTTGACAAATTCTCTGACACTTTGAAGGCCAAAATGTTTTCTTGAAATCATAACAATAGTGGAGATATTCCTATGACGACTGAACAATCTCCTTAAAACTTTCAGTTTCATAACCATCGGCAGCTGTTCTCTTACTGCATCCACTGCAAGTAGATCACTGCAGTATTTCGCTAAATTATCCTCGTATTTGCCGCCAGCTACCGACTCAATCTCTTCTGGCTTCAGGAATTCCCTGGGTGCATCCTCGTCAAACCAAGTGAATACAGTTCCATTCGTATTACGGTAATTCGAAACTCATTTACGTTCGCGAAAATAGCTTCCAATGTAATCCGCTTTCTAAGAATTTCAAAAGGAAAAGTTTCTTTCAAAAATTAGCCCACTTTAGATTTTTTAGTCGCAGTTTGATACCTCAAGCACAACTCGTCGCGGATAGCACAATACGCTTGTGGTTGTCCCTTGTATAATTAACAAGAACTTATACGAAATAATAATTATTATTGAATTTTTCTCCTTCTGACCAAAAATCACTTGTTTTGATTAAAATTAGATTGTTTGATGCCTTTGATTGACTGATCAAATTTCAATTGTTTTGTTTTGTTTAGCTGATCAGGTTTTAGTTGCTTCGTTTTATCACAAGTTAAAAATCACAGATTTTCGATCAGCAGGGATGTCTGTGGCACACCACCATGTAGACCTCTATGCTAGTGATAAGAACGTAAATCCCTAAAATTTTCGTTTTCCTGACAACGTTTCATTTACCCACTTCCGTTTACCAAACTTAGAATTTTTTTCTGCGGTTTTTGAGCCATAACAGGAAGGAATTGTATGAATTTGAAAGCTTTTATCAATACCGAACCCGCAGTGGTTACCCACTGAGTTTCCCAGTGCGTCTATCGTAACGTAACGTCACGCAAGTCGATGGAATACCTTAAGGTTTAGTAATATTATGATAGCACTTACGTGCTGGACGATGCGCTTTCTTAAACACACGCTTAGGCGAGAATAGTTGAACGTTGTTTTGTTTGCGCGTTCCAAGCATTTACTGATCAACGGACACATTTTCAACTCCTTATATTGTTTGCTATTAATTTTATGAAATTAAAAAAATTTTCAATATCTTCCTTTCGATCTACGTATCTTCCTTTCGATCTACGTATTATCTGTTGCTACACAACCGCACGCGTAATTTCTCTCAAGAGCAGCTGAAAACTTTTCTCGTCATTATTTATAAATCAAAATAATACTTATTGCTTAACCCATTCGCCATACCTGTCTGGCTCCTTACGAGGACGTTCAACTCGTCTGACAGGTACGTGTTACACTGCGGGTTTCGGGTTTCCATCTGTTTTCTTTAGCCTCTTCAGGCTGTTTCCGCTGCTTCGTCGTCGCTATACCACGCTCGTGGTATGATTTGATTTACATACATTGCGTCGCCATGTAAATTTACCACTTTTCACTATCCAGATCCGCTGTCCCACAGCTTCGATTAGTTTTCCCGGAACCCAATCATACTTTCTCGGCTACGAAAATCTTTCACAAGGACTAGCTGTCCTACCGTGAATTTTCGCTCTTTAGTATTTTGATTAAAATTCCTTTCGTATCTCTGTCGAGCCTCCACTTTCTCAACGAACCTCTCTGTGGGATTGATTAACGAAAATTCGGTGCGTAATTTCCGCCCTAGGAATAACTCTCCTGGAGTCTTCCCGGTTATCGGGTGTACCGTTGCTCGATATCGCAACAAAAACTCTCTTAACGCCTCCTGCATGGTGATTTCACCACCAGACATGATTTTTGTTAACGCAGACTTCATCGTGTCCACATATCGCTCGGCTTGGCCGTTCGACTGTGGATGTCCGGGCGGTGACCTTAGATGTTTAGCGCCCCACTTGCTACAGAACTGTGCGAAATCTTCGGACGTAAACTGCGTCCCATTATCTGAAACTATTTTAGAACATGCGCCGTAACTTGCGAATAAACTCGAGAACACTGCTACCGTGGCTTTAGAAGTTATCGATTTCATAATCAGAACTGCCACCCATTTTGGAAACGCGTCAACGATAATGAACAACATTTCGTTCTTAAACGAGCCTGCGAAATCTATATGGATCCGCTGCCATGATCCTGCTGGTACCGGCCACTGTGATTACGGAGCCTTCTGTGGCTCTTTCGCCGCTCGCGTACATATTTCGCAACCGGCTGCTACCTCGCTTATTTCGTTGTCAATGCCAGGCCACCAACAGT